AATCACTAGAAATATCTTCTCAAGATATAAATGAGTCTAGTGAATCTAGAAGAAGCAAGAGAACTCGTAAAGAGAAAGTACTAGGACATGATGAGATTGATTCTCAACGGATTTCTCTATAATTGGTTGAAGCAAGTAGACAAGATATAGTAAGAAAAATTTCTTATGTTCTTCAAATTGATAGTGATCCTAAAACCTATAAATAAGCAATGACATCTAGATATAGCATTTTTCGGAAAGATGCTATAAATGATGAAATGGATTATATAATGTCCAACAATACTTGGAAGATTGTTGACTTATCGGCTGGATCAAAAGCAATTGGTTGTAAATGGGTATTTCGTAGGAAATACAACACTGATAGTTCAATCCAAACTTACAAAGCAAGATTAGTTGTTAAAGGTTTTCAACAAAAGGGGGGAATTGATTATTTTGACAATTATACACCCGTAGCTAGAATCACTACTATTGGAATTCTTTTTGCATTATCTTCTATATATGATTTATGTGAACATCAAATAAATGTTAAAACTGCATTTTTAAATGGAGAATTAGATGAAGAAGTTTACATAGAACAACCGGAAGGTTTCATTCTTCCGAGTAATGAAAACAAAGTTTGTAAACTTGTAAATTCTTTATATGGTTTAAAACAAGTTCTTAAAAAATGGCATGAGAAATTTGATAATGCTATCATGACTTTTGGTTTTTTACATAATATGGTAGATAAATGTTTATATGCTAAAAAATGTGATAATTATATTATATCTGTATGCTTATATGTAGACGACATGTTGATTATTAGTAATCACATGGATGATATTATAGAAACAAAAAAGTTTCTATCTTCAACATTCAAAATGAAGGATCTTGGTCAAATAGATACCATATTAGGTATAAAAGTGATCAAGAATGATTTGAGATTTGCATTAACTCAATCACATTATATTGAGAATATAATCGAAAAGTTCAAACATTTGAACATTAAAAAAGCAAAGACTCTGTTTGATTCAAGTATCAAACTTATGAAAAATGTTGGAAGAGATGTTGGAAAACTTGAATATGCAAGTGCAACTGGTAGTCTTATGTATGATGTACAATGTACAAGACCGGGCATTGCATTTGTTGTAAGTAAACATAGTAGGTTTACAAGTAATCCAAGTGTTGAACATTGGAAAGCGATTGGAAGGGTACTTGGTTATTTAAAGAGAACAAAAACCCTTGAACTCCAATATTCTAAATTTCCAACTATACTTGAAGGATATATCGATACTAGTTGGATATCAAGTGCTGGTGAAAACAAATCAACATCGGGTTGGTTGTTCACTCTTGGAGGAATAGCAGTTTCTTGGAGATCAAAGAAACAAACTATGATTACATATTCCACAATGGAATGCGAGTTTGTAGCATTAGCTGAAACGGGAAAAGAAGTTGAGTGACTTAAAGATCTTCTTTATGAAGTTCCATGAGATACGAAGAATGAGTCTTCAATATCTATACTATATGATAGTCAAGCTACTCTAGCAAGGGCTTATAGTGAAGTCTACAGCGGAAAGTCTTAGACACATAAGTCGTAGACATGATTATGTAAGGAAATTAATAAAAGATGGAATAATTTCACTTACATATGTAACATCAAGTGATCACTTGGCCAATCCATTTACAAAACCACTTACCAAAGAGTTGGTAAGATTAACATTGAGTAGGATGGGGCTTAAACTCTTTAAATAAAATTCACCAATGATGGCAACCCGACCTTTTATTACGAAATGAGTAATTTACGAGTTCAAAGGGTAACAACAAATCATTTGATAAGTGAATTGCTTTCAACACTTAATATACAATTTAAAGCTCTATCCTAAAGATATAAGTGTTGGGGTTATGGTATTGAAGGTTGAATAAAACTTAAAGAAATTCAGTACGTAGTACAAGTGTCTTTAAAACATAACCAAGACATTATAAGAATTTCTCCTATATGAACTTAGAAGTGGTGCTGCTTCAAGGAAAGTTGGAGTTACTTTTTGAAACATGCATGAATACGGATGGGTGCATGGCCATTAACGCGTCAAAATAAAATTGTGTGGAACATATTGAGATAGAATGATCATATGTGTGATATCGCTGATAATGTCATAAAGGATAACGGGTTCAAAGATAAGGCTACCTGGAATCTCGATATTACTTTGCAATATTAGTACTAATGTAAGGATTAAATCGAAAGATACCTTATCCTATGAGTGACATCATTTATGATTCTAAGTTAAGTTATAATATTTGAACAAGTGGGGGATTGTTATATAATTGTGTTGTTCAAATATTGGTAAATGAGAAATTGATCAACTATAGTTAAAAAGAGATTTAAAAAATTTGAAAAGGAAGTTAGGCAGAAATTGCTTTGGTACCTTTTCATCTTCTTTTATCATCTTTTTGTGAAAAGTTGGCACCCATACGAAAGTGTATGAAGGAATTCTATAAATAGGAATAGAATTCATGGATTAAATATACTAATTCTCATTTATATACTTTGAAATAATCATCCCAAACTCTCTTAAAATTATACTTAGAATTATTTCAAATTCTTTTCTTGTTCCTTCTTTCCGATTTTCAATAGTGCTAATTGCAACCCGATTTCTTGACTTGAAATCCGCTAAACCTATTTGTGTGTTGGTCATTTAGCATTCTCATTATCGAGAGGGCGCAAATATAGCTTTTAGGACAGCATTCTTTGCGATTCAAGTCTTCTTCTTTTCTTCTTAGTCTTCTATTTTCTTTTGATTGTTATTACATATAATTTGGAATTCCTCTTGAATTATCATTGGAGGCGTGTTATCTACTTTGGCGACAAATTTTCTCAACAAGTTAGTAGTACGGTTAATCCATATTGTCCTAATGCATTAAAATATATAACGTGACTGAGATCAATCACTTATTATAGTTTGTATAAAAGATATCCTGCCAGCTTTCCTTACAGTCTCTCTCGCTATGAGGGTTCGGTTCTATGCGGGAGGTCGATTCCAGCGAAATGGGTTCGACCACTTCATAGGGTTCGGCAAACTGCCTCCGTAGAATAACATGGAGTGTAGACCCAGGTCCGGATGCCACGTAGGATATTCTGGGGTCTCGTCAGTCGATGTGTAAGATGTTTACTTAAATTTTGACACGTTCAAATTGTAATGAGGTGTCAAAACTTTAGTACGAGACAACCAAATCGAGACACTACATATTGGAGCTCGGTATTCAATTGGAGTTTGCATTTGGCATGCATGCCTTATTTTCATTGAAGATAGCAAAAGAAGACAAGATTTTCTTTTTCATTTTTTGTATAGGAAATTGGTGAGGTGTCTCTTGGGATAGAGCTAAGCTTCAAAATCTTTTGTCAATGGGGGTAAGACTATCCTTGCAGTGGTGTCCTAGCTTCTAGTGAATAATATTAATTCGAAACTTTATTAGTTGTATTGTCTAATATTGGATAATGTATACTAAATATGCTTACCATGTTAAGTCTCATAGTTGTTAATTTTTAAAAATAAAGATAAACTTGTTCGATGGGTGAAGATTATAGATAAATGTTTTATTTGATCATATAGACGCGTGTATTAAACAATATTGTAGAATTAAAAAGTAAAATAAAGTCTTGCACTATAAGAAAATAATTCTAACCAAGACTCAAAATCATCAAGCTGGAGAAAATGACTAATCAATCCAATCAATAATGACTACAAATAATAGTACAAGCACTATCAATAGCCAAGAAAAATATCACCATCCACATTAATCAATTCACACACATATATATCAATTAATAAACTCATGTAAAAAGATGAGTTATCATAGCTACACCTACCAAACCATTTTCAAAAATACCACGTCGATCCCCAAATTTCATAATACATAGGTACGAGTAATGCTCGATGAGTTGGGTTATAATAATTCATGAAAGAGATGGTGACATTTCACAATTTAAAAAATAGCAAAATCAAACTTAGATTGATGGCATAGACATTCGTCAAAAGAATCTCTATAAAAAAAAATCATCGATAAACACTTGAAGAAACCTCTCAACCATATCAGAAAAATATTAAACATGCATCTCTGAAGAGTTGCGGGAAACTGATAGTAACATGAATGATTAATCATGACACGAGATTATATCTAGCATTTAATCAATAAACGGGAGAAAGAGACATTTTCTAGTGATTGAATTTAATATTTTGTAATCAATACAAAATACACAATAAAATATGCTCGTCACCTATACCAAATTAATCTTGCCTAGAGAACAAAATAGGGCATGACAGCTACTTAGCCATGGCTCTTGACCACACAAAGATTATAGGATACCAATTGGTGCATCCATCTAATTGTATATTTTTAACAAAACAATGAAGCATGCACAATTCTTTTCATTATGATTACAATAAATTATGCACATAAAATTGCCATGGTAACATAAAAACAATTGAATCCATTTTAATAATATCGTTTATAAAAAAATATATAACTCTATAAATAAATAGCTTATTTAATTTATAAATAAAAAGAAAACGTAACTTGTCCAAGGATGTTTAAGAATAAAATATATTTAAAAGTAAATTCAAGTAACTCGTAAGCTTAATCAAACACGTTAAACATTCATGCATTTCTACAAGAACACATTTCCGTTGACAAGATCGATGTCCATTGAATTACAATCCTACTACTCGTACAAGGCTCTTCACATGTGCTTTGACAGGGGGCTGAGGTGTCAAAACCCATATCAAAGAGTCATGTATAAGGAGCTTAATACATTGAACAACCATGCAACATCTACATTATGTATTACATTAAGATTGACATTCTTCCATGTGACGGCGATTTACACCATTGATTTTAAACACTTCCATCACATCACTAGCCAGGTTTCTTCCATGCGGGGGAGTGTCAAACTCCTTTACATCTAACTTTATTCTTGAATTAAGGATAGATTTTTGAATTGGTACAATAGTAGGATGATTATTTAATTTCTACTTATTAAATGGACATTTAAGAGTAGATGCAGAATCTGTGTGCTCTGAGCCTGCAATTAAAGGGCCTTTAAGCAGTCTTGCAAAAAGCTCAGTTGGATCATAGTAAATCTCCACATCTTCTGCTCTCAGTGATTCATCAACATTGAGAATTCCAATCCCATAAAACTGAACCAATTCTCCAGTAGGAGCATGTCCTTTAAAAGGACCTTCAAAGTAACCCCAATGCCTGAACTTAAAAGCAATCGCAGGTGGACCTGAATAAACACTTATAACTTCCCATGCAAAGCCACGAGGAAGTGCCACTCGAAAAGCATCGTGGGATGACTCGAAGCTCTCTTCATCTGCTTTGTAATATTTGAATTCTTCTGGCATTGAACTCTTTAGCAATGCATTGTAACTGCCCAGTTTCAGTGTCTCTTCTGCAGATAGGCCTTCTCTTCCTGTATTTTAATATTGTTTAGTCAATTCCTTTATAATCTAAAACTCGATTAGGGATTGAGTAAGGTGTTAGATTACAATTTTGGAGTTGACTCGTAGGTTTGATTGAAATGCCATCTTTTGTGACGATAAATATTTTGGACTTTTTATTAAAATCTACTAAAAATCTAATTTTAATCCCTACCAAACAAAAACTAAGCCCTTGTTTGACAATCATTATTTTCAAACTCTTTTTTTTACATACTCATTTTCAACCACACATTCATACGATAAAATATTCTACACGTAAACCAAAAACATTTTGTTACTTTTTAACCAAACATTCTTTTAAAAATCACTATTCAAAACTCTATTTTTCGTAAATAATGGTTGTCAAATAGGGGATAAGTAACAAAGCGTGACTTCGAGGGATAACATGTTAAAAGGAAAAACATATATGTATGATATTTTCGAATTTTAAGATAATACCATAAAGTACCACAAACTAGGGAAGACAACGAGTGGAATGGGATGAAACGGGGGTACGAGGATTAAAATATTTTCCTTGTCCCGATTCCTCAATGGAGCGGGACAACTCAAAGCGAAGCAAAACGAGACATATCATTTTGTCATCCCTACCACCAACCCATAATTCAAATATGCAAACTCGTATTCACTTATAGTGCGGCAATATTTAGCTTATCCTTGTCCATATGTTGGTGTTATAGATTCAGCAATAATTCAGTGGAACTCTTTAATGCAATTAATGCGACATAATCTATATGTTGGTGATTGGAAGTTGAATCAACTTGCAATTTGCAAACAGATCCAATCATAATTTAGAGAAAATTCCAGATACACTCCTATAGTAATAAACTATTGTAGAAACAGTACTATCTATAGCGAAAAATAAACTTCGGATGAAGTTTCTGTGAAAAAAGAGAAGAGTGGCTACGTTAGGCCATCTCCAAAGTTACACCAAGTAATTCGGTGTAGCCATTGAAGATGCTCTTATAATCCGTAATTCGAAAGACATAATTTTGATAAAATTAAGATTGAGTTAATTAAAATAACTAGGAAAAGAAAAGGAGTAGGGTTTGTACTTATTTGTCTTACCATTAACGATGAGCTTGAATTTTTCAGGATTTATAGTCCTGAAATCTTGAATTCGAGTCTTGTGTGACAACTCCATTTCCCATGACTTCAAAGCATTTTGAACTACCTCTTCAAGTGATCCTTTAGGCCATTCCTAAATACCCCATTTAACAAAAAAAAAACAATTTAAATACCATCCATATGAGTTGAGATTCATAATTCCAAACTTATTTGTCTTTTCAATACATTTCGAACACGTCCCAAGATGTCAAAATTGTATTGACAAATAGTCAAGAGGACGACAAGTTCGATACAACAAATATTGACTTCACCCATACTCCACATAATACATAAAGCGATACACACGCAGTATACACATGTTTACTCGTACAGAGATCGATCTATATATAGAGAGAGAGAGATATAATACCTTGGTTCGGCCTTCTTCGAACAATTTATTAACATCATCATATATAGGAGGGCCACCATGTCTCCACTCTGTATTTCGTGCTTCTTCGTGCAAGAAAGACCTATACTTATCTGCTGCAATTTGAATAGGATCTTGATTTTCAGTCGCCATGTTAAGAAGAGCTTTTCTTCAAGATATTTGACAGGGAATTGAGGCTTCAAGTGAAAGCCAAGGATTGCTACATTTAAATAAGCAAAGCAAATAGGTTCCTTCGTGGACCTTGCTTGTTTCCTTAATGGCATGTTTGGTACGTAAAAAAATTTGGCGAACGCTATAGTAGACGCTATAAAAGATCAAGGGCTAGTTCAAACTTCTGGACAGTGTACTTAGTGCATCGTCTCATGCCAATAAAAATTGGGTAGTGCTATGTGTACACAATCTTTTACACCCCTCTCACATGAAGGGAGCCCACAAACAATAAAATATTTGTGGGTTCCCCTCCATGTGAGGGGAGTGTAAAAGATTGTGAATAATCCATAAAAATTTATGAAAACGGTGGTCTCAATGGATTTAGTGTCCCTTGCTGTTATAAACTTCCCGTACGTTTGTTTGGGAAGAATTTATAAACGGTTTATATTACAAAGAGATAAAACGAGTATGTGACAAATAAATATTACTTACGTGTTTATTGGAATGACCGATTCAATTCCTATTTTTTTACAGAAAAATGGGACAAGTGCACACTTTTTACAACACATGAAATTTTGGACATCTAGTGTTATGCCAATGGTGCAAGCATGCGTATCACGGTTGTTTGGATTTGTTCCTACGTCTCAATCTGGATAACTACAATTTTTCTCATTTTTAATAATAATAATAATTATTATTATTAGTTTTTGGTCCAAAATGAGCACTCAATTTATTATTGAGACGTACGAAGTTTGAATTGTGAACCATGTAAATTAAATATTACATTGAATTCCACATGCACAAGAAATAATTATTACATTATTGGTTATCTTTTCTTGTCATAACATATGTAGGCCATAGAGTAAATTAATACGATAATTAATTTATTGTCGTTGACTTATTCGAGTCTTTTTTTTATTGCGTGGATAATTAGTAATTTAACAAGAATCATCGTTATCCGATAGTGAAGGTTTATGTAGGGACTGAGTAGAAAGGGGATTCCCTAAATTTCACTATTATGCACAATGCTACTATTTTCGAGCTTTCGAGACAACTTTAAGGAAATGATCGTTCTTATAAGAAGCTATTTGAAACGAGCAATTAGAAATTCGGAAAGCGGGCAAAAATGCAGAGTGAATCCAAGAAACGAAGTAAAAGAAAATACTAAAAATAGACTCGTCGACACCATTTATGAGAAGATGCGACTCTTGTTTAATAATCCAAACATCAAATCTTCTCGACGATCTTGAATCGGATCAATATCATGAATAATAATAATATCCGAGCTATCAAATCAATTCGTGACTAAAGTCAAGTCTGTATAAAACTTAGTACCATTTTTTGTGGAAACAAATGATAATATTTCAAAGTTAACAACTACATGTTTCTAGGCATTTCTTAAGCTCATTGTTTACCGAAAAATGGGACAAGTGCACACATTACAACACATGGATAACTGCACTTGTTTTTTTAATATTAATTTTAGATCAAAATGAATATAATTAATTTATTATTGAGACATAGGAAGTTTGAACTGTGAACCATGTAAAATATTACATTGAATACTTTTGTTCACATGCACACGAAATAGTATTGTTGGTTATCTCTTCTTATCATAATATTAATCTCAATTTCATCCTCATCGGCTCAATCATGTCCTTTCCATATGCTCGTTTGAACTATAGACGGATTAAATTCTTTGTTTAAATTCGTTGATTTTTCTGAGACCATATTGAAACTTGAAAATGAAGTTCTATCTTAAAAAACTAATGGCCAGTTCTCTTTATTATTTTCAAACCGTTTTCTGTTTTCGATTTTTCAAAACAGTGAAAACGCATTCTCTTTCATATTTTCGAAAAGTCCAAATTTTCAAAATGCGTTTTTAGTGTTTTCAAAACAATTTTTCGAAATGTTAAAAAGAACACATTTTTAACAATTTCAAAATGGGTAAACAAAACTCAAAATGAATTTAAAACTCAAAACACAAAATTAAAATATAAAGAGAACAACCCCTAACTTTTTTAGAGTAATTCAAATTTTGTATTTTAGATCATATTTTAATATATAATCGATGCGAAATTTTAATATATAATTTGGTCTTATATATTAAGTAATTATATGTATTTCATCGTATTAATAATCAAGTCATTGCACAATCATTTTTAAAGTACACAAACCTATATTGAAATCAAGTATAATTCATAAATAAATAAAAATAAAAAATTTAATATCCTCATTTTATTACCTTGTTTTAAAAATTTTAATTCTTAGTTAAAATCATATCTCCCCTAAATAAAATTCAATACAAAATAATACATACAACCCACCTCAAATCCTTTTAGAATAATAATTATTTTTTTCTCATTGACTTGTCGTTTGAACCTACCTATTATTACATTTGCATGACATTTATATGACAATTCTCATTATGACGACAATCATGTTACATAAACATCAATGTTGACATAAAATTTAATATAATGTCACGTGTCATTTTATCATTAGACATTTTAAAATACAGTCAGTTTTTTCACAAAATCATCGACTGTCACATGTAATTATGCCAAACTTACTGTCAAATTCTTCTGACAAAGTAGCTTTATCGTTACGATGAAACTTCATTTCAATGTCTAAATTGTATTTTCGTTGAATTTTTCTTGGGTGCTCTATTATTGAATGACGACATCCAATTCAAGATTTGAAAGGTTAGTTCCCAAATTATCTAAATTTTATTGCGTTCGCACTTAGTTATTTGACCAAAATTATCATGATTCGATAGGGATTTTGTCGACATATTTAATACATTAAATTGATAATATGATAGTTAAACAATCGAATCTTACAACAAAAATTGAACACACTCATTGTAGTGTCCATTTTTTTATTTTTTTAAACCCTTGTTAGGTGTATGTTAAATAGTAGATTAAAATTCAACTCAAAGTAAATAATTAATTTTAATTAAACATTTTGTGAGACCCGTAACTTTTCTTTTCTGTCACACATTTCATGAAATTTTATCAAGATTTACAAAAAATTTAATTTTTAGTTACACTAAACGGGGAATTAGTTTGTTTAATTTATCTTATAATGTAAATAGTATACCAACGAAGTATTAGAGAAAATTTCACTGTTGATCCTCAATCTATAGCTCTGACAGTTTATGCATCCTCAACTTTTCTGTGAATATGGACCTTTAATATTGCAAGTAACTTTTAGTTGAAGGGAAATTATATTCACAAGAAAACTTTTGTTTGTTGCAACATATTTTAAATACAATGAAAACCCTCAATTTCAATTTATTGTCGAACTTATGTCGTCAATTATTTTCTTCATATTTTTATCTTCAACCTTCTGTTAATTAACATATCTTATCATTAATGACAGTTTTTGTCCAAAAAATCAAATAGAATGACATAAAAAGACTTATTTGCCTTTCATATTTTCAAATAAGTAAGAAAAAAAGACAACAATTACAAAATTCCGATAAAATATTTGTCCCTCATTTCAAAGCACGTTAATAGGATATTTGGAAAGAAACCCTCATTAGAAAACGTATGCTAATTAATTAAAGGTTAAAGATATGAATATGACGGAAAAAAAAAAAGTTGAGAACATAAGCACGATAATAAAAAAAGGTCAAGGCCCTTCATTACTATCAAAATATAGCACGACAAAAACAAAAACTGTAATGCGGAGTCGAACTAGAGAGAAATGTTGGTTGAATTACTCGTTTTACCCTCGAGCTTCAAATCATGTGAAAGTTAAGTGTGATTTTAATGCACATACTAACAATTTCAATCACACTGGGTCATAAATTCACAACTTTAAATAAATTAAGGACCTTCTATCACAAACTACCATTAAGCTAATGGTTGTGTTTCTAAGCTGACTTGTGCTTGTTACAAGGCACCAAAAACCAGTCAAATAAAATTAAAACAAACCTCATAGTTAACAGCCTATCTCATTCTCTCTTTCCTCGAGCTGTATCGATAAGATATCCATTCAGACGCTGGCCAAATTTCTTAGTAGAGAACGACTCTGTTACATGCTTTCGGGCTTCTCCGCCCATTATCTCCGACATTTGAGGATCACGAATAAAATTAGCCATAGCAGTAGAGAACTCTTGTGGGTTAGGATCACATAGAAATCCCGTCACTCCATTCTTTACTGTCTCGACTGGACCCCCACTGTTGCATGCAATAACAGGTTTATGGGCCGCCATTGCTTCCAAAGGAACAATGCCGAAATGTTCATCCTACAATCCATCATATTTACTAAGGCAAATTTTTATATAAAAAACTAATCAAATTGTATAGACGATCAGAGAATGGCGCACCTGAGGTGTATAAAGAACACATAGGCATTCAGAAAGAAGATTATTTCTTTCAGAAGTAGTACAAGATGTGATGAACCTGACCCTGTGAGACACACTTTCTCTGTCTGCCAAGTTTTTCAGTTCCTCTAGATATTCAACATTCTCTCTGATGCGTTTATCAAAACCACCTGACATTGAAAGAGAAGAAAAAAGTACATGAACCTCCTGTAATGTGTATAACCTAAAAAATTATCATCCAGATACATAATTAAATTCTTAACCAGACAATATATAATAATTGTTTAGATGCGACGAGTAAATAAGGACAAAAGAGCCTGCCCGGACGCACAACGTAGATATTAACTTCTCAGGAGACGTATGCTTTATATGAGGTCATTGAACTTAGGCAGACTACATTAGCCATAGTCCATGCATACAGTAGAGAACATAGTATCACACACTAAGCCTCAGTTTGTCTCCCATTCTTTCAAAACTTTTTTTTCTACGTATTCATTTTCAACCACACAATAAAATATTTTATACTTAAACTGAAAAATTTTCCATATTTTTTAACCACACATTCTTCAAAAGTTTGCTATTCAAAACAATGTTTTTCCAAAAAAAATGGCGTTAAACAGGGGCTAAATTTGACTGTCCCTCGTCCAAA